ACTTCCGGTTTTGAAACAAATGGCGACGGTTAGTCCGATCCCTCTCTGGAAGATCCCTAGACGTCCCCCGAAGCCGGATGGCCGCTCACAGGTTTCTCTCTGGTTATACTATGGTGACGGTGTCCAGACTCTTTTTTATAGGGACTCTAGAAATTCTGTTTCTATTGCCTGTTGCCTGGCATTGTGCAAGGGGCTTTAAGCCGTGATCAGACTACGACTACGGATTGGGATTGAGATTGGATTGAAATTTAATCAATCAGAATAAAGAAAACTAACTTCAAGTTTAGTGAACTTTGCTGTAATTGGTCAAATTTCAATCCAATCTCAATCCCAATCCGTAGTCTGATCACGGCTTTACGCGTTACGCGGAAAATTCAGTTCATGTAACCGCACCTTAATGCGGGGTTTACAATGTAAATCGCAGTCGTGAGTCGCAAGAATTGACCAATCACAATCTAATTTGAGGAGAATAATCGACTGTGATTGGTCAATTCTTGCGATTCACGACTTTGCGACTCCCTTTGGACGCGTTCAGCAGACACAACTGTTGAGTTTGTCTTATCAACTAGGCGTTGATTGGTCGGTTCTAAAAGTAAGAGCCAATCACGTTCGACTGCTACTGAGGGCCAATTTCACCAACCACAGTTAGCTTAACCGACGGTTAAAGTTAGCAGGATTGACCAATAGAAATGAATCCACCCTGCTTTCTATTGGTCAATCCTGCTAACTTTAACCGCCGGTTAAGGCTGATTTATAGAGGCCGTAATCGTTGATTTAAGCCGCAATCTTTAAGAAATTGACCAATCACAGTCGATTTTTCTTCTCACATTCGACTGTGATTGGTCAATTTCTTAAATATTGCGGCTTAAATCAACGGTTACGGCCTCTATAAATCAGCCTTTAAGCTAACTGTGGTTGGTGAAATTGGCCCTGAGCGGCCCAGGGGGCTGTTGATCGCGCCCATTTGGTGCGTTCAGCAGAACAAACCGTTCAGTAGCAATTGAACGTGATTGGCTCTTACTTTTAGAACCAACCAATCAACGCAGATTGTTAATAAGACGAGATTCAACAGTTGTGTCTGCTGAACGCACCCACTAATTATTGGACTAGTGCAAAACTGCAGCGAAAAAGAACAGACCATCTGTCGATCTGTCGTGTAGTCTGAATCCGCCATTACTGACCCTTCGGGCATTTCTTATATCTCATGAGTGATGGGTGTTATTGGTGTTCGCCATTGTTAGTATCGGCAGCAAGTGATAGACATTTCGTATAAAATGCTGTCAAGATTGGCTCTTCGCAATGGTAAATCAATTGTGATGTTTCTCATTGTATTTTTGCATATTATGTTATACAACACACTTGTGATGGATAGACAGTTTCGTTAATTATAAATTAAAGTTTCCTTTTTCTGTTATGTAATGACACACAAATACATTCATAATTTCAATATCTTCCAAACTTATATGTCATAAATTTTATTTATATATTATGTACTAGTTATGTAATATTTAAGCTTACGATCCTTCAAAAATAAAATGTTAATCTTTTTTATAGACAATCTTTATGCTCTGTATTATATTGATAATATTGACATGTTTCAAGAAATTGAAGTTGCTTTGATGTTTTCAAATAATATCATGTAATTTTCGTTTTATCCTTCTCTTTCATATTTATATACAAAAATCTATTTTATTGTAACTGTTGCAAAGTGTATAATATAATTTATTTAAAATTTATCTCTTAACTCTTTGTGATAACATTATATATTTTCTATCGTAGCACAGTTGCTGTCCACTGCTGTACGTGGAGCACAAAGTGCTTCGTCAGTAGCAACGGAACCAACTCGTCCTAAACGTTTGATTGACCCGTCTCCAGTTAGACATGGATTTATACCTGAGGAGTGGTTTCAAGCATTCTATCCAAAAACTGGTGCATCAGGTAAGTAATCGCTATTAGATAATACCTAATAATTATAAACCTGTCTTAGAATAATGTATATATTTCTATGCCGTATATAGGATTTTTATAACGAGAAAATGATTTCTTATATCAACAAATTCACATAAATAATGATTTCTCACATTTATAGAAAATTACATAAATATAAAATAAAATATTTTTAGGTAAAGCTTTATATTTGATAAGATCTACTTTAAAATTAAAAATTAATAATTTTTTTTGTTAAAATTGAATAAATCTATATGAATTTTTGCTAGAAAATTTTTTATAATGGTGTTTATCTAAATAAATAAGAAAAATAATTTAAAATTCTATTTGAAAGATAAACCATTGATGCTTTATATAAAATTTTTAGTTTATGCAAATTATTTATTATTAATTTTCTCCTTAAGGGAATCTTCTGTTCCCTAAATATTAATTTAAGAAATACTGTTGAGTTATATATTATATTATAATATTTTGTGCATAAGAGAGAGAAAGAGAAAAATTCTTGAAAATAACTCCTTACAGAAGACAAATATATTAAGTTTCTTCAAATTGTTGTTTCATACAAAAAGAAATTTTGTATAAAAAATCTACTTTACACTTTTAACTTGTTTTCTTAAAAATCAAGTTTTCTTGTACACATACATTGTTTTGTAATATATAAATAAGAAGGGATAGCGTTTTTTTATTATCACTAATTATTATTTTATTTTTAGGGCCATATGTATTTGCTATAAGCGTGAGCACTTATCTACTTTCCAAGGAAATTTATGTCCTGGAGCACGAATTTTATAATGGGATATCTCTGTTAATAATATGTGTAGCAAGTGTAAAGCTATTTGGTCCAAAACTTGCTGAGATACTGGATAAAGGAATAGATAAGTACCATAATGAGCTTGAAGAGACTAGGAACAAACAAGTGACTGATTACGAAAATGTAATTTCTCATGAAAAGAAAGTGCAAGCGAGCTTGGATGGACAAAAAATGATAATGGACATTAAGAAGGAAAACGTTAAGATGCAGCTGGAAGCAACATATAGAGAACGCTTGGTGCAAGTCTACCAAGAGGTACAATTGTTTTGCATTGTGGAATATAAAATAATTAAAAAGATCTAGATAATAAATAATATAAATTTACTAATGATTAATTTTGTTAAATATTGCGATGTTACACACTGAGCAACTAAAGAAAATCGTTGTTAACTATAACATGTAAATCTGAAACTTTTATTCAAATTCACTGAGTTTGAGCTATTTTCTTAACTTTCAAATATGATAATTCTATATATGGAGGGGTAAGAATCACAGTGGTGTAAGTCAAGTTTTTTAAAATATTTTCTCGTATGCATTGATGCAATCTGTACAATATATAAATTGCATATATGCACACGAAAAAATATTTAAAAAAATTTGACTTACACCACTGTGGTTTTTACTCCTCCATATATATATTATATATTATATATATATATATATATATATATATATATATATATATGTATATATATTGTGTATATATAGATAGAATTATCATATTTGAAAGTTAAGAAAATGGTTCAAACTCAGTGAATTTGAATAAAAATTTCAGAATAGTAACTTTCAAATTTTTGGCATATACTTGTTTTACTGCTAAAAAGAATACAAGAAGTTTTTCTTAAAAACAACTATATTAAATAGATATAAAATATTATATTTTAGTGATATTCAATATATCACTTTTTGTACAAAATTTCTTTATAAAAATAAAAAATTATATGATTCAAAAATTTTTATTTGCTTTTGCTTATAGGTGAAGAAGCGTCTTGACTACCAAGTGCAAATACAAAATCTTGAACGCCGAATCGCACAGAAGCATATGGTGCAGTGGATTGTGAATGGAGTATTGAAGTCTATCACTCCTGAACAGGAAAAAGCAACTCTTCAGCAATGTATCAAAGATCTTGAAGCTCTTGCTGCAAAAGTGTAAAGAGTTACCATTAAATTAGATGAAATAGAATGAAATAGCATGATAAGGAAAGATTGTCATCAGACATAATATTCACTTCATGCAGTTCTGTATATCAAATATTGTTTTTCAACATTTAGAATGGTTAAAATGATATAAGTGAATAAAACACTATGTTACAACAGTAAAATGTAAATCAATTATTACTAGCATTATGGGAAACTAAATTTTATCAAAAATCAAAAATATCAATTATAAAATGAAAAATTGATTATAAATTAATTTTTTCTTATTCCTTTAATTATTATCTCTTTTCATGCAAGTAAAATACTAAGATATATTTTAGAATGTAAATAGTTAATTAAAAAAAAAAAAAATACAGATTTTATTAAATAATCCTTGAAAAAGTAACGTTGGTTTATAATTACTAATTTTATCATGTTTGCATCATGTTTCTTTTAAAAATAAAACACCTTCGACAACGACAACCTATAATTTGCGACAAAATTAAAATAAAATTATTTATTACGTTATGTACTATGTATCGTTTTTTTTCCGTATTATAACAAGATTATAAACTTACAAAATTATAAATTAAATTCTGTCAGAAATTTCAGTGATAAAGTTCAAATCAAAATCACTTTAAATGTTAAATATTTTCTTCGATAAAAATGATGATGCGAGGTGAAGATGCCGCTATTTAACATCCATACAGCAATGTGTTGTTTCTGTGTTAAATCATTTAGCGAATCGAACGCGTCACATTGTTCGGCCGGTTCGGCGTTCGGCCAATGGCATTCGGATACACTCGGCCGCATTCGGCTGCGCTCGGCCGGTGACGATGAGCATCGGGTGGCGCGCGCGAGTTTACTCGGGCGGCCGGGGGCCGCCATTTTCCTTCAGCAAGGGACAGCAGTCCAGAGCGTAGGTAGCGAGAATCTGTGAGCGTTATTAGCGAATCGATTCGAGAGTAGTGAAACGTGAAAACTCCTTTCGTGTACGCTGCGAATCGTGCACGATCCATATTTTACGGTTGTACGAGGACCACAGTGTGCCCGGTGGTCAGTGTACTCGCGTGATTTCATACACCGTGTCGACCACGGCGGTCACCCGGTAGACGGACGCCGTCGCCGCTGTGCGCAATTCTGGGCAGAATTGATGGCGAGTTGAAAATATATTTTCAAGAAAGACGTAGGAAGATCACGTAAAAGAAGTAAGAAAAAGTGAGAAGAGAAGAGAGAGAGAGAGAGAGAGAGAGAGAGAGAGAGAGAGAGAGAGAGA